ACATCATCGAGCTGATCCTCAATGCTAACATGAATCTAGACTGCAAGATCTACCCTCTTGGCAATCAGAAACAACAGGAACTTGACAAGTTTTTTGATGAGAATCTCTTTAGCAGAAGGATGTGACTATCAAAATCTCTCATGGCATCACTGTTCTTTTTTGTTAAAAAGAAGGATGGCAAGCTCTGACCAGTGCAGGATTATCAGAAGCTTAATAAGATGACAATCAAAAATCATTATCTGCTTCCATTAATTTCTGAACTCATGGACAAACTTCAGAGGGCCAGGTATTACACCAAGCTGGATATATGGTGGAAATATAACAATGTACAAATCAAGGAGGGCAATGAATGGAAGATGGCATTTTGAACCAACCATAGACTCTTTGAACCCACTATAATGTTCTTTGGACTCACCAACTCTCTGACAACATTCTAATAGATGATAAATGATATATTCAAAGATCTCATTGCTATGAGAAAGATCACAATCTATCTTGATGACATCCTAATTATGTCCAAAGATCACCAATAACACTAACAACTTATACAACAAGTTCTTGACCTAATGAGAAAGCACAAACTTTTCTTCAAGGTGGAGAAGTGTGAGTTCAAAGTGCTGAAAATGGAGTATCTAGGAGTGATCATCAGCAAGAGAAGCATCTGCATGGATCCAGTCAAAGTCATAGGAGTGGTAGAATGGCCAAAACCAACAAAGAAGAAGGAGCTCTAATCCTTTTTGAAGTTCACTAACTTCTATCACTGATTCATCTGAGACTACAGCAAGATAGTCTGATTAATGATGCAGCTAACAGAGAATATCCCATGGACCTGGGGGGCTTCACAACAAACAGCTTTCAATAACCTGAAACAGCAACTCACCAAGAGCATTGTCCTTGCTATTCTGACCCAGAAAGACAAGTTCTGAGTTGAAGCCAATTCAAATGAAGGGGCCACCAGGGCTGTACTATTCTAAGAACAGGATGGAAAGTGGCAGCTAGTGACATTCCTTTCAAAAGCCCTGACAACCACTGAAAGGAATTATAAGATATATGACAAGAAGCTACTGGCAATAATGCTCACTCTGGAGGAGTGGTGACATTATCTGATCAGCACAACTCAGACCTTCAAAATCTGGATGGACCACCAAAACTTGCAGTATTTCTGACAGCCTCAAAAACTCAATTGACAGCAGGCATGATGGATGACAGAACTAAGCCAGTATCTGTACACCCTGCATCACAAGGCTGGAACAGTAAACAAGAAGGCTGATCTCCTCAGCTGATAGGTGGACTATGATTAGGGAGAGAGCAATAATCAGAAAGTGACATTATTAAAACCTGAACATTTTTGAGCAATGATAATGCCAACAGAGGAAGAGATCCATGAGTGGATCAAGAGTGTTACCAGGGACAACAAGAAGTGGGACTAATGTATGGCCCCATCTCTAAATCATGAACAAGGAATGACAAAGGAAGGTGGTATGATCTGCTATGACAGGCAGATCTATATTTTGAGAGATCAACAGCTTTATAGTGAGATCATCACCATCTGTTATAACTACACAATGGCAGGACACCTGGGGATTGCTAAAACCAAAGAGCTCATGTTGCAGGAGTATTAGTGGCCTAAAATGGGCTAAGACATCAAAAAGTATATAAAGGGATGTAAAATATGTCAATGAGAGAAGACCTCCATGCAACCATGGGCTGCTCCTCTTCACCCACATGAGGTGCCACAATCACTGTGGACCCACATCTCAGTGGACATAGTCACCAGACTCTCTGAATGTAATAGATATGATGCCATCATCATCATCATATATTACTTCTCAAAAGTGATCATCTCAATCACCTGCTCAACAGAGCTAACTTCTGAGGAATAGGCCAAAATCCTTTGCAATGAGGTGTATGCCAAACACAGCATGCTCCAAGTTGTAATCCCTGATTGAGGACCACAATTCATATCCAAATTCTTGGATGACCTTTACTGCCTGCTTAATATCTGATAAAATGCCTCAACCACTTACCACTCACAAATGGATGGACAAATGGAGAGAGTTAATCAAAATATCAAGATATACCTGTGGCTGTTTATTAACTACTGCTAGGATGACTGGATTGAATAGTTAGCACTTGCCACTTTCCAACACAACAACAGAATTCACTCCACCACAGGAAAGACCTCTTTCTTCATCAATCACAGCTGCCATCCAAATGTCTCCCACACCAAATGCTCCCATACATCAACACCTGCTTCCTCTGATTTCACCACTTCCATGACCAAAATCCACAGTGAAACACAGTCCACTCTCAAAAAGGCAGTGGCCAACATGAAAAAACAGTACAACAAGCATTGCATCCCCCCATGAATATATAACATGAATGACAAGATGTGGTTGGATACTACAAACCTCCATCTTCCCCATCCAAAATGAAAACTGGATGACAAGCAGACCAGCCCATTTCCAATATTGGCCAAAGTCAGTGTCTCAGCATACAAACTATGTCTGCCTATTAACTGAAAGATTCACAACATCTTCAATGAGTCTCTCCTTACACTGTCTATCACACCATTGTTTCCTAACCAAAAACAACTGCCACCACCTCCACCTGACCTCATTGACAATAAGGAGCACTATGAGATCAACTAAATTCTAAATCACAAACTCCACAAAGTCAGAGTGAAGGGTGATGGAACAACAACTATAGTGGACTATCTGATTAGCTGGAAGAGCTATGGTCCTAAATCTAACCAGTGGGTAAATGAAAAATAAATGAGTGCTGACAACACTATACATGAATATGAACTATCTCTAAATTAAGCCATCAGAATGATGGTCTTAAGGAGGGAGTAACATTATGATTTTTCTCATTTCTTTCTATTTCTTTTAGAACTTAGCCTCTATTTATACTTAGTCAGGGTGCCAACCACAGTGCTTAAAACCATGGGACTGGCTTAGTCAGCACAAAGCTGGATTGATCATTGTCTTTTGACATGACAACAACTCTTGATGATGCACAATCACTCTTTTGCAGGTAGTAACAACATTCAAGGACAACAAGTACAATAACTTGGACAGACACAATAGGTAGCTAGATATTTATGTAGCACACACTGTAGTATATAAGGAGAATGGCTCTTGCTGGTATAATCCCAGCTTTGAGCTAAAGTTTACTTTCACACCATTCTACTCTTGAGCCAATCCTAAGGCCTTGTAGCATATCAATCAATATTTGCATCAAGTGAACTCTGACAGAATACTCAAACATGAAGTGATGTCAGTTTATCATGTGTTTATAATCATATGCAGCTTGGGTCTAACAGTGTGCTTCAAGGCCAGAGACAAGTCAGCTTGAGGTGAAGTGGTATAGAATAAACTTTAGCTTGAAGCTGAGTATATACAGTGAGAGCTAGGCTACTTATATACTACTAAGTCTTGAGATAATTATATCCTACCAATTGTGCATTTTCATGCTACAGTGCTCATTGTCTCTGGTCATTGGTACTGGTACAATATGGTATCATCTGTTGTTGAGACATCCATCATTACTTGAGAATAATGGCATGGGTCATCTATTATGGTTGTGTAAGCATGTTCCATGCTCATCACAAGTGCCCAAGGTTAAATAGATGCTCTGACTAATCAAAGATAGAGACAGACAGGAAAGAATGAAAGTGGAAAATCATAACACATAGTGAGTTCAGCTCAGCAACTGGAAAGATTAAATTGTATAGAGACATATTTTTGGTCAGCAATCTGCACAAATAAGTCATCTTTCCATTTGATAAGAAAGAAATATCCATATTTGCTAGGAATGGAGGCATTGCACAAGTCTGCATGGTGCCTGATTCTATCACATCAAAGACACAGGGGTCAGAGCAAACTACTCTGATCTATGGTATCATGTTGATTGATATCATAAGGAGTGAACCATCTGTTTGAATACCCTTTTAGAGGCTTCACTTATTTACTCTCACTACCCATCTGAAGTTTATGCTGCATGAGCAAGTAGTTGTCTTTGGCAGTTTGTACTCCATTGGACCAGGCATTGGATGAGGGATCTAGAATGAAGGGATCCTTGAATAGTTTTGCTCAAAAATCTTTATCAAATGTCTTGTGTGCTTCAAACCACCATGAGAAATGCAGGTCAGATAGCATGATATGTAGGTGTCCATTAAGGCCTTGAAGGGTCTGTTCACCAAAGCCCATGGAAGTCATGAACTTGAGAAGATTATTGTAATAAGAAATCTGCTCAAGATAGATCATCCTCTGAAGGGGCTTTAGAAACATTGAGGACACTGAAACTTTTGCTGGACCTATCATGCACATTACCTTGACTTGAGAAAGGGCATTATCATTATACTGCAATGCACACAAATATAATGAGTGGAACATAGTGGGGGGGATTGGCATTCAATGGAGAAGCAAAGCCTTGTAATCCTCATGAAAGGGTGCATCATGAGGGTTGTATGCTCCTTGATTCTTCTCTGTGGCTTCATCTGAAAAGATTTTGGTTAGGGTTGCATCCATTGATATTTGCTACTGTGAAGGAGTTCATGTCTTCAATAGGGGGGGAAGATGTGTTGCTCATGCTTCAGGTTAGCATGGATGAAATCTTGGCTTTGATAGCCTTTTGGATTGTTTGGACCATAACATCAAATTCATCCTTTTCATCATCTGAGACATCTCTGGGGTTGCCACCTTTCAAAGCCACTTCTCCTTTTTGCTCTCTTTGTCTTCCTGTCCAACATGTCTTTGTGCATCTTAGCATGCAACCACTCAAGGTTCATTTCTTTGGGGCCTCCCAAGGATGTTCCTACTGAGGAGGGAGGTGGACCAAACTCAGTTTGTGGACTTGCAGTAGCACCGGTCCGGCATGATGTTGCAGCACGTCAAATAATAGAAAGCAAAATAAAACAAGTCAACAACTTCATTCGTATTGATTTACTGATTTACTGCAGGTTCAAAGGCTTAGTCAGCACCTTATGTGCGCTGTCTCCGCAAGCTCCGTCAGCTCACAACGTCCATCCGTCTGCCCACAACATTCAGTTTGAACTCCCCCTTTCCGGCCCGGCCAAATATTCCTTTGGTAGCAGTTCGTATTTCCTTCCCTGTTGGAGCGAAGTCAAAATGGCGAGCCGAAGTAAGAGGAAGAAATCCCCAGAATTACCAGATCCTACAAATCCACTGAAAAGGACCAAGAACAACGTTTTGGATGAAGAGTCTAGCTTGCGTGCCTCTGCCTCTGCCTTACAGCGGCTTCTTGATTTCTCTGATCTTCACGAGTCAGCATCTATCCGACAACGTTTCGATACTATCTCCTCTACACTACTACATGATTTTACCATTGTGGTACAGACGGGTCTGGGATCGGGGTCCGACTCCGTAGAAACCAGACTTCAAATCATGGAGATGGAGCTTTATTTCTGGAATTCGACTTGCCACCGGGACCCATTCACTCACAGAAGCCAGGAACAAAAGACGGCAGGTCAATGGTAGGAAAACCTTTTCCTATCATTGCTTCCTGCTCGAGAACTGACCGAGCAAAACCATGCTCAGGTATTTTCACCGCATCCCTAGACGGTCTAATGATTCTACACAAACCCTGATCAGCACCTCTGGATATAGAGGCGGGACGCGCAAGGGATTGGACCTCACAATAAGCGGCATCACTCCCACTGAATCACGCTATTTTCTTTCTTCTTCAAGTTCGCATCCTGACTCTTACGGTGGCGTTCTTTTACGCACCCTCCGCGACTTGAACTCTGGAAAAATCATTTCGGGTCCATCTCTCCTCGTGGATCATATCCTACAGCTCAGTGGGGCGGAAAGAATTCCAGATTTGGTCGAGAATCACTGGGGCAACGACACTAACGCGTTCAACAACACATGTTTGGGTGAAAGAAAAACTTGCATGTTCCTTTGTCCATCCCCAAACACAAATACGAGACTCCATATATACAAATCCCCTCGCATCGGCCTCGATCTCTCCCATCCTGACACCACAGCTTCTCCTACTCACCCTCGAGTAGAATTCATTTCCCAGCCTTACCGATACTTTGTTCATCCAGAGAGGTTGACAGCAAACAGGCGAGCGCAGACACTGCTCGGTGTTCTTCCTCAGAAGGAGCTCTCCGGACTAAAAGACAAGACCGTGGACGCGTATCTGGCAGAATATCAGGCCGGTATGGATAGAAAGGCCAAGCTGGAGGAATTTATGGGTGCACGCGGGAAAGGCGTCTCATCGTCTCCGACAAAGTACATGAAATTGATGGGCTGCATTGAATCCCTGAAAGCTGGCAGGTCTGCAGCTGGTGATGATGATGGAGCGAACTGAATTGTGAGGGTAAGTGGCTATAAGTGGCTACTGAGATCTCGTCGTGTTCCTATAATCCGTGTCTTTAGGCTCACTGAGACAAACTAGGTATGATTGACGATGTTCTTCCTACCACTGACGTGTCTCTTATGTGTATTTTATTTCCGTTATCATTTTTCTGCCTACCATCACCATCTGTAAATATCGTCTCGGCTGCGGGACGTCTCAATGCGTCAAACCCTCCCTCAGCTCCATCGGTTTATATCCAATCTCCTTTGACTGTTTCTATCTGAAGAATGCTGTTCGACGCCAATGCCGATCTCTCAGTCCAAGTTCGTCATTAGTATTTCAAGATCGAAATACCACAGAATCCTTCCCCTGCTCCCTCTTCTGGAAATCTCCACCATCGTTCAAGTCAAGGTGATTGTCATGATTCGCGTGCCAGCCCAGTAAATTTTAGAGCCCACAGGAATTTTTGATCAAATGCCAGTCTCTATTCGCAAATGTGACCGGGCTGTCTATGACGTTCTTCAGAGCCATAGTCACTCTATCGAAGGCCGCAATGGTTTCATTCGTATGGATAACACAATATGATCTACGAACTGCTTGACACTGCAGCACATCCAAAATGGTATTCCATTCGTATACTTCGATACGGATATCGTACCCATCTCTCCGCATCTTCCTCAGATGGCCGAGCTTGCTGTCCCCAATCACAAAAGGTCTACGAGTCAGCGACATACCTCTTGCGCCCGCTGAAACCTTCGTAGACAACCGTGGTCGGCAGCAGATCATATCGACGAATGCATGATCTATCCTCGCATTAGCTACGGTGTCAACGAAGGGATCCGCACTCGACGGAATATTTATGCACAGCTGAAGGCGTTCCAACTGTGGGGTCCGTTCAGCAAAGGTGTGACAACATTGCTTGGGCATACCGTATGTCCAGGTATTTTCACTACACGGCGAATCGCGAGTGTCGGGATGAAGCCGCCCAATTGCATTTTTGATTTACGGCAATTCCCAGGTCCGTCGAAATCTTTGCGCATAGTCTTTACCATCCCATCTGTCCCTTGCTAGTTCTCTTAACTCAATACCCCCCCCCTTGGCCCCCTGCTCTTCAGTGTCTCGTCGAGAGATCCCAATGCTCGCTTGTGAAATTGTCTGTGAACGGTGTCAGGACGAACGTCATTGGGCGTAGACATTTCATCGATGTACTGCGATTGAGTCCATCCCTCCGTGAACTGTCCCTCGAATGAAATGAGTGGAGTATGTGGACGGCAGAGGAGATGGGATATCTCATCGAGGCGATGTCGACTATGATCCATTCGTTGGCATTGGCGGCGCCCTCCGCAGTTGAAGTTATTCGTAAAAGTCTCTGATCATTAAACATAAAGTGAGGTCAGTATTCCTGGATACCGAGGCCGGGCGCACGATATAATACACAGTATAGGTGCTACCCCATCACACTATCTTCTTACAAGTTCAAGTCTCGGTGAGGACGAACACGAGAGTGTGCTCTTACGTGCGTTCACGATTTGCAGCTCTTAAATCTGTGACAACGGCGTTTGGACCGTCTCTACTAGTAATGAGGCCGAAATACTCTTTGAAGACAAGGTCGAAAATCCTGGAGAAATGGTACTGCCGATTTTTCTTCGATTAAAAAAGATGCTTGTATCTTTGTCCAACCCCCGGCCAATATACCATACCATTGTCTATAAATCCCCCCACTAGCTCCGACCAGGGAACCGTTGTTTCTTCTGATATTTACTCTCTAGAGATTCATTGAACTGTCAACGGCGAATGGACGAACGTAGCCTCTGCTTGTCCTTTTGCTGTATAAGGAATTATATGGATTGAAGAATATCAGACTGGGATGGCGAGGCGAAATCTTTGAGTGCAAAGAGGAAATATTTATATATATTTTTGGTCCGCGGAGACGCGTACAGATGTGGTGCCATATGTTTGCTAATTGCTGGCAGGTAACTATGTGGCAACTAAATATCCCGGCTCCGAAATGTCATTGATTGTTTTCCAGGATTGATAAAGAGAGACAAAGTCGAGTGCCTATGGTATGGCATACCTCCTCGAGCGAAGATGTGCTATTGATATTGAGCTCAGGCCCCTGTATCGACCATGATTACTGCAGTACCGGCAAATAGACTGCCCTGACGCGCCCCAACTTCCATTCCGATACTTTCCCTCCGACTACGGCGCAGCGACATGGTATTCCGCATATCTCTCAATCCCGGTTGTCCTCTGAAAATTAGCCTCAAAAGAAACCTTGGCTGTCTTTTATTTTTGTTTTGGAAAAATTATCACCATAAAGACAGCACGGGCACCATATTTAGAAGATACTGCGATTCGCGGAACAACTAATCTCCACCACCACATCCACCACCACCACCACAGCCTCCACTACCACCTCCACAGCCTCCACCACCACCACCACAGCTTCCCCCACCACCGCCACCGCAGCCAGTCCCGCTACCACCACAACCTGCGCTACCTCCCCCTCCGCACCCAGCGCCTAGAAAAAAAGACCAAATCAGAATATCACTCAAACATCCAGCTACACTCAAAACTCACCACAACTCCCATATCCACCAACACCCTTCAAAAACAAACAGATTAAGTCCAAAACAAAAAAGTCCGATTAGGAGGACTCACAACAGCAGCACATCCCCTGACCCCTCCACCCCCTCCAACCACATTCCCCGACATCGCCACACACCCAACCCCATACACATAATTCAACGGAACCGGCACCAAAAACGCCGCGTCATGTCCAACACTCCTATTCCTACTGACCCCCTGCGCTTCTCGCCTAATCCTCCTCTCCCGCTTATTCAGCCTCTCCCGTCTCATAGCGTCGACCTGCCCCTGGTGCTGGAATGGATACACCGCATTATGGTCGCTCGGATGTGTCGCTGCGAGGAGATCGCTTCGATCCCGGGGCGGGACGAGGTGAGAAGGTGCCACCGACTGCTTATGTATCGTTACGAGTCTGCTTAATTTCTGTCCAATCGTGTCGCCCGGGAGCGGACACCCGCAGTATGTATATGCGATCCTGAAACGGTCCTGCAAAGGGTCATTAGTAGGGCAGAGAAAGGAGAGGGCGAGTTACGTACTTTCCATGCCCGACAAGTGATGTCGAAGGCGTTTGCAAGCCTGTTTTCGGCCACCTTGTCGTCATGGTCGACGAACCGACCGACATATTTGAGACAGTGGCGGGAGTACTTCCGGGCCATGAGCTGGTGAGTATGCCAAACCAGGTCAATGTCCAGCGTTGGGACAAAGAATCCAGCAGGTGACGACGACATCAGGTCCAGGAATCTGGTTTGTTTGTGAGGTCCGCTGAGCAACAAGCACCAAGAGGACGCCCTGCTTACGCGTGATAACGAGCAATACAGTGCTTCAGCGCTGCTTCATCCTCGGAGGACGAGAAAAAGTCCGGGTTTGTCCAACCCAGTTTATGCATCTTGTTCACAAACGATCCTTGTCGGAGTACCTTCATCATGTAAGTGTTCCATCTGTAGAGTGCTCACAAAGGTACCCACTGCCCCGACGAGATCCAACGAAAATATCTTGTCATCTTCGCACGCGCTCATGATTCGAGGCAGCCTATCAATTCAATATCAGGATTGTCAAAGAAACAACAAATACAAACGTACAGTTGTCCTCCGTATACCCTCATACGCTGGCCCATAACACTTTGAATTTTCTGCATACTGTAGTTCATTTTCTCCTGTATGTCGACCGCCCATTCCTGTTCGGTTTTCGCATCTCCCTTCCGAAATGCTGGCGGTCTCATCTCTAAAATGCGGGACTTGATCGCCTTCGCACGTTTGGAATTGTCGATATTGTAAGGCGTGTGAAGAGTTCCGCTGGATGTCAAAGGTATCGATCAGCAGAAGGAAAGAAGAGACGACAGTCAGAACATACGCAAGGACATCGCTGGAACCCACCAGGTCCTTCACAAGTTTGTGAAAAGACAACTTTTCCTTCGTAATCTTCAGTCGGCACCCCGGACACGTGGTTGTGAACTCGTGCTGGAGATATCCACTGCCAGTGGGATTCACCAAGCCTAGACCTCATTCAGAGATGACTATCAAGACCAAACGGTACTAGTACTTACGAACGTCGACCTTCTTGAGACATTTGGGGCAAATTATTTCTCGCTCAGTCAATATCATTACCGACTCGAAAGGATCATAGGGGAGATGGGTCTTCTGCAGCCAGTTCTGGACACGGGCATCTGACGGAGGCCAGTAGATGGTGTAGCATGTCCGTTCCTAATCCGTCCAGTCAGCTCAACCTTGAAAAAATAATTCAAGGTAATCATACGAGGTCCCGAAACCAGTTACCCATACTTGCAAGTATCTTGATGTGCTTGTTTCGTAACGAATCTTCAGAATACCGCCTGATATGCGATCAATGTAACATCACCAAGACATCATGCGAAACATACGCAGGATTTAACAAGTAGGCATGCCAAACCTATGCAGCTCGAAATTAACGGGATCTTAGATACCAAAACGTACTATCGCTCACCATGATAACATCGACAGGAGGCAGCTGCTGGTCAGCGAAATCCAATTCGTCTTGAGCTGTCAGCGCCTTGCACCATCTTTCGAACCTAATGAACACCGTCAAGCCTCCAGTCAACCAGTCGCCAAGGAACATACCTCTCAACGGCCAGTCCAACGAACCACGACCACTTGCGGTCCTTATCGCTGGGGGCATCTGGGTATCTGGAACGGTCGATCCCTTCGACTCGTTCCTTGAGGGAGGCAAAGTGCCTCAAGAGACATAGGTGGCCCTTGAGCTGAGATATGCTGACAAAGGGTGTCTGGAGGACACGACTGCCGATGAGCAGTGGGTAGGAGAGCTCGTATGAGGGTGGTTGGGCACCACCGTCATCCCCACCGCTCGGTCGTGTGGAATATGGTGGGAAGACGTCCATGAGATCGAGGAGAACTGTACTGGAAGAGATCCGATGAAACTGGAGAGAAAAATATTGAGCTGTTGACGTTGGAGGTATTCAATGTTAGGGATGTGCACTGTATCTGTACCACGACGGATATATATGGTGGATACGGATACGTATCCGTACCGTGGACGATACTGTCACATTACCATTAGCCATAACGTAGTACGTACATCAACAGACACCTAAAATAAAATGAACTACGCACTGAATTGACGACCGTCAGTTCTGTCGCTAGTACTCAAAGTACTCGTCTAGAGAAACGTGCGTGGATATCACTGAAATAAAAGGTGCTGCCGCTGCCAGGGTAATCACGGTCGAGTTTTTTCAACATTTCTTCATCGTTTTGACAAGCGTCTCGGAGCATCATGGATCAGGCCCATTTATCTCGTTCCACTGTGGGCATCGATGTTGTGAACATGGAGAGGTTATCGCTATGAATCCCTGGTCAGCACGAGGGGGGATGAGCGGTTTGATGATCAAATGTCGCATGACCGTCTTCAAAGTAAATGCGGGTTCCAGGCGCTTCGGTGATACTGACGCCGTTCTCGCGTGTCGCATTCAGTGGGCACGAGATGTTCTTTCTTCATATGCCAAGGCAGGCTTCGGAGTCTTTTTTCTTGGTCTCTTGTTGATTGGCTGCGCCTGAAGTGAGCAAGAATGAAAACACGAAGAGCAGGTGCGTACGCACCCTATACTGCTCCGTACGAGAGTATAACCTGTCCTTTCGGGGCCCTTTTTCCCTATCAGATAATCTAGCACTGGGGATCTGAAACGCGCTCAAGGTCTGGAGAGAAGAATTCAAGATACCTTCTTGTCGGCTCTCAAGCTCAAGTTTCCAGCTTCAAGTCCAGAGTGAATTTGCACAATTTCCGTTAGAATATCTAGTTATAGTTGAGCATTCGTCCTGTTCTTTAAGTGTGCTGTAAGAGGCTCCGTCGCAGTGAGTCTGGACGCCAAGTCGCAACGTGAAGAGAACATTTGTCCTGCAACAGACTAGCCCAGTGCTATGAGAGATGAACGAGACGATAACGGCAGATGGCACCCACCATGTTGAACGACGAGCGTGTGGAGAGGACAGGACATAGGGAAGGAGCGTGAGGATTGAAGAGAAATGAAAAGGTGGTTGCCTACTGGCTGTCGTAGGGTTAGGGTTGGAACGGTTGATCGCTCTCGGTTGACTCTCCAGGCTTCTGATAAATGAAAATTTCGCGAAGTAGCTTGTTCCTCTTTCGACTGTCAATGTATCCTGCCTCATGGCCCAAAATGATTCAATAAATAGTACCAAAAGTTGCACCGAAGCCAACAGTCCAGAAGTACTTGTGATTATCCACATCTTTTCTGAATTGTCTGCCCCTAAAATGTCAAACATTAGACTATGTCTTTGAAGATATCTGGCAGAAATTCATGCATGTGCAGGAAACATAGCCATGGTGTTCAGTTTTGGAAGATGTGTCACTTTCTTGCTAGTGCATTTAAGTGATCAAGGCAAGACACTGCTGGGGCCAGTAGGTTTTTAGCACAGGAAAAAGGAGATCTAAAAATGTTGTGACTTTTCCAGACATTTTTGTATGAGTAAAATAGATTCCATAAAATTAGAAGGAAAAGTGCCTATTTTTGGTTAAATTATAGGGCAAGTAGATAAACATGTTTTTGGGATATTTTCTATATAGGAAGAGAGTCAATAAAAGATATCTATTTCCAGCCATATTACACCCACAAATAGAAGTGCAGTTACAGCTTGCAAAAGAATAGCTTTTCACAAGCAATTTTGGGCCTGAAAAAAGAAGGATAATAAAATTTGTTGAAAAAGAAATCCTTTTTTATCATATCCTCTTTATGTAAAAACTGGAGGTTTCCAGGTAAGGAAAAGATAATGTAAAAGAAGTCAAATTTCATTGTATCTTACAGATGGTAAAATAAATCACACACTGAGAGACTCTCTCAGCATGCATTGACACACCCTCTTCTTGTTCAGGCATGTAAATTTGTGAAATTTGAGAATACATGGACTATATTCCAGTCCACTAAGCATGTGACTGAAAATAGAGCTAGAGCACAAAAAAACATAGTCATTATGATGCTGGACTGAAGTAACAATAAGCAGAGTGCATGGCATAGTGATTGACTAATACCAGAGGGGTTAGACTGCATGTGAGTGTTATGATTTTTTCCTATTTCTTTATTCAATTAACCCCTATTTACACTTAGTCAGAGTGCCTATGCCAGTGCTTAGGACCATGGGACTGGCTTAGTCATCACAACTAGCTGAGTCTGTCATTGTCTTCTGATGCAACAACAACCCTCAATGATGCATAATGACTCTTTTGTAGGTAGTAGTGACAACTAAGGACAATGAGCACAAAGGCTTGCTGTTAAGCCCAAACTCCACATGACTATTAACACGTGATAAACAGTTCAAAACCTCGCACTTCAGGTTAGACTGACTGAGTTCACTGATGTGTTAACAGAGGTGTGTGGTCAAGGCGGTGCAAGTCACTCGAGATAGGATGGTAGAGAATGAACTTTAGCTTGAAGCTGGAGTATTACAGTGAGAGCTACACTACTTAAATACTGTTCTGTTATCATGCTATAAATAAATGTTCACAAAAGCTGTTGTCTGTCATAGAGCTATTGCCCCTGCTGTTGCCAGGCTCTCCACAAAAGCTGTTGTCTTGCTGTTGTGCTGTTACTGCTGCATAGCAGTTGAAAGACAAAAAGGACATTGTCTCTCCCTTCACAGCACACAGCATTGTGATAAGAGAGTGACTGACTGGGTTGCTGAGCTAAGCGTTCCCATGGTTCTAAGTGCTGGCCTAAGTGCCCTGACTAAGCAAAGATAGGAGTTATTTCTGAGGAAAAAGAAAAGAAAATGAAAAAAATCATAACATTACCCCCTCCTTAAGACCATCATCCCAATGGTTAAGTTAGGGTAAGTCTGCCCTGCCAGAAGGAGGTGGCTGATTTGCTGGATGTCTCCCCACTTTGATGGCAGGCTTCAAACGAGTCGAAGGCATGGTAGATTGCTTTTCGCTGTATGTCCTCACTATTTCTGGCTTGTCCATCACAGGGTCATCTTCATTGTCCTCTTTAACATGTCCTCTGCTGTCGGCAGGTCGGTTGATGTATATCTGACTAGATATCATCTCCCTTTCATTTGTCGCCACATCTGTTTTTGCAGATATAATGTTAAATATAACCCCCTTCACATCCAGTGTATTGATCCTGTGTTTGTAGTCCCATATAGCATCCTCCACATTCATATATTTTTCATTGACTCATTGGTTCGATTCTGGTCTATAGCCTTTCCAGCTGACAAGGTAGTCAACAGTTGTTTTCATGCCTCTGCCTCATGCTTTAACCTTTCGTATTTTATGGTTTAGCACTTCATTGATTTCATAATGTTCTTTTTCGTCAATGAGTTCTAGTGGAGGTGGAGGTGGTCATTCTTGGTTTGGAAAGGCTGAGACCATGTATGGTGTCAACAATGTTTTGTTGAAAACATTATGAATTTTCCAAGTTGCCAGTAGTTGCAACTTATATGTGGATTGGCCAATTTTGGTGATGACTTTGAATGGACCCATTCGTTTGTCCGCCAGTTTCTGTTTTCACCTTGGTAGATGAAGATTCGTAGTATCCAACCAGACCCTGTCATTGATTGGATATTGATGTGCTGCTCATTGATGGTTGTCATACTGCTTCTTCATTGTTGAAGCAGCTTTTTCAAGGGCTGTCTTTGTCTCTTTGTGGATTTTTGCTATTGAGGCTGCAAAATCCTTTGATGCGGGTGTCATTGTGTGGGCTCATCCTGTTTGTGCCACTGGTGGGTTCTGTCCATAATTCACAAAGAATGATGTTTTACCTGTTGTGGAGTGAATTCTGTTGTTGTGTTGGAATGCAGCTAGTGCTAGCCATTCCATCTAATCATCTTGTCAGTAGCTGATGAAAAGTCACAAGTACTTTTCTATTTCTTGATTGGCCCATTCCGTTTGGCCATCTGTCTGTGGGTGATATGCTGTGGAAGCATTCTTCTTGATATTCAGGAGTCAGTATAAGTCGTCCAGAAATTTGGAGACAAATTGTGGTCCCCTGTCTGAAATCACTACCTGAAGCATGCCATACTTTGCATAAACCTTGTTGCATAGTATTTTTGCCCATTCTTCAGATGTCAATTCTGTGGAGCAGGCAATCGGAATGATTGCCTTTGAGAAGCGATCAACTATGATGATGATGGCATCATAGCCATCACTTTCAGGAAGTCCAGTTATCATATCTATGGAGATATGGGTCTATAGTGATGAAGGGACTTCATTCGGGTGTAGTGGGGCTGCTCTGGCTTGTGTTGAAGTTTTGTCTTATTGGCAAACCTCACAAGCCTTGACATATCAGGTGATATCATGGTCTATTTTTGGTTACTAATACTCCCTCAAGAGTAATTCCTTTGTTTTAGCAATCTTGGAGTGTCCAGCAGTCACATGATCATGACATGTGGTGATGATATCACCTCGAAGTCTCTGATCCCTTGGGATATAGATTCACTCATCGTAGCAGATCAATTGCTCTTCTTTCTTTAGCCCATGCTCATGGTTGAGTGATGGGGCGATTCTCTGATCCCACTTGTGGGGGTCTCAAGTAGCACTCTTGATGCATTTATGCATCTCTTCTTTGGTAGGCATGATCATTGCCTGGAAGTGTTCTGGCCGCAATAATATGACTTTCTTGTTGTCGTCTCCTCTCTGGTCATGATCTGCCCTGCAGCTGAGGAAGTCGGCTTTCTTGTTTGCTACTCCAGCTTTGTGATGGAGTGTATACTCATACTGTGACAGTTCTGTGACCCATCTGGCTTGTCTGTGATTAAGCTTTTGGGGCTGTCAGAAGTATCGGAGATTCTGATGATCTGTCCAGATCTCGAAGGTTTGATTGGCTCCAATGAGGTAATGCTGCCATTCAGCAAGGGCAAGCATTATGGTGAGGAGTTCTTTATCATAGATTTCATAGTTGTGCTCTGTTATAGTGAGCACCTTCGACATAAAGGTGACTGGTTGCCATTTGTTGTCTTGTTTCTGTGAGAGTATGGCTTTGATCGTGCCTTCACTAGAGTCGGCCTCTACATGGAACCTTCTATCTTGACTTGGTATGGTCAGGATGACGTCTTCAGCTAGTTGGCATTTAAGGTTATTAAACATGTCCCGCTGGGAAATTCCTTAAGCCTATAGGGAATTTCCAGTTAATTATGTCATTGGTCAGACGACCTTGCTGTAATCTCAGATAAACCATTGGTAGAAGTTGGTGAATCTGAGAAATGATTGTAGCTCCTTCTTTTTAGTTGGTTCCGGCCATTCGGTTATCTCCACCACTTTAATGGGGTCCATCCTGATGCTTCCTTCACTGATAATGACTCCAAGGTATTCAGTTTCTAATACCTCGAATTCATATTTTTCAGCTTTGAGAAAGAGTCAGTGCTTCCTCATCAAGGATAATACCTGGTGCACTATCTGTTGGTGTTCCTCCTTGGTTTTGGACATAATGAGTATGTCGTCCAAGTAGATCATGACCCTTCCCATGGCAATGAGATCTTTGAAGATGTTATTCATCATCCACTGGAAGGTGGCTGGTGAATTAGTCAGTCCGAAGAACATGACTGTCAGTTCGAACAAACCATGGTTAGTCCAAAAAGTGGCTTTCCACTCGTCGCCTTCTTTGATACACACATTGTTGTATCTCCACCAAATATCCAGTTTGGTGTAATATTTTGCATCTCGGAGTTTGTCTATTAACTCCAAGATTAACAGGAGTGGATATCGGTTCTTGATTGTTATTTTGTTGAGCATTCAATAATCCTGTACTGGTTGGAGTTTCCCATCCTTCTTTTTGACAAAAAAGAAGGGGGACGCCATCGGTGATTTTGATGGTCGGATCCTTCCACTAGATAAGTTTTCTTTGAGAAACTTGTCTAGCTCTTATTGTTCATTATTGCCTAGTGGATAGCACTTGCAATCCAGATTGGCATTGGCATTGGGGATTAGTTTGATGGCATGGTCCCAGGGCTTTGCATCAGGTAGTTCATTGAAACTTTCTTTTTCAAATAAATCCCGATAGTTGCATGCCCATTCAGGTACCAGTTCTTCGAATGTCCTTTCTCTTTTTTCAGCATTAGCCCTTGCCGCTAAGTCATTAGCATGGTGTACCACCTGAATGTTAATGGTCCTTTGTAGGTTGATGGTGAGAATAGTTTCACTGTCTTCCATTTCTTCATCCCATTGGTTCTCAGG